ACTCTTGGTTGGGATATGGGCATCTTGTGTAGGTTGTTTCGATATGGTCATTATAACATAAATTGATGTAGAATAGATAGAATCTGGCTAGGAGTGGAATCCTAAACTCATGTTTCGTCCGATTTGGGACTCGTCAACTGGACGCAACTACGTCTCAGAGTTCGTGTCCACTCTGGGACTCGAACCCAGTACCGTTCGCTCAAAACACCATCGCGTTATCCACTTATCTACTGGGTCCAGATAGCCATTCACTTGTGGAACGAGTAGAAATTTTAGTTGAATTCGTAATGGTTCGAATTGTCTGGCTGTTAATACTTTGATGAGTCTTAGTTGGCATGTAGGCATCCTGTTCTTGAAGTAAACGCCAACTCGGGCGCGTGTACATCCATCTGACGATTCCCTAGTAAAACGAAACGCACATGCTAGATTTGACTGCTAGCTATATTCCATACATTTTATATTATCATTTCAGTCTGTTGTTGATTTATTTTTATCAAATATTATAGTGTTTTTGGAAATTTACCTATACCTTATCCTAAACGAGAATTTATCTCTGATGATGATTCTGATGATAAACAAACTGGTGCAGATAAAAATGTCACACAAACTGGACAACAACCAAACGCTACTGGAGGAAGACAAACTACAGCACATCCTACTGGTGGCAGTGGAATGCATACTACACATCCTCAGCAACAATCTCAACAACAACAACAGCGTGGAAATAATGCTCCACAACCCCAGTTACCATTGCCTCAGCAACAACAGAGAACAAATGGACAGCCACCGCCACTGAATACACAGCAACAACATATGAACTCTGGTCAATCTAATCCCCATACAAGACAATTAATTCATCAACAGGTCAGTATCGGTTGACATATGTTGTTTTCTTTTTGCTTATTTCTTATCATATGAAAATCTACTGTATAACGGTTAATAATTGAAGATCAATTGGAATCATGTTAGACCACAATTTAAAACCTGTATGCACTGGGTGACCGTTTCGTCATAGTATGAGAATCCCCAGCGGGAATGGAACCCAGGATCGTCTGTCTCGCACGTGAATGCTTAACCACTGGGTCACTAAGCCGGCATCAAACGGTGTTAATGTTTAGCTTCAATCAATCCATGATAATGCGACCATCTTCCATTATCTCCAGTGCGTAACTGCCTAACTTAGATAGGCTCACGATTTCAATTGGAATTCGACAATCTCCATAACTCCATATTGAAAAATAAGATCAATTAAATTCATCATTCTGTATTTCGTCCGATACATAACTATGATCAAGTAATGCCTTGGTTTTAGTGGTTACACATGTCACACCCCTTGTATTTGAAGGTGTTGTAGTTTCTAGGCTGTTTTGATTTGGTTAAGCTATGAGAATTTTTTCACAATTGTGAATAAATTCTAGTAGCTCATTTTTAATTAAGGTACGTACTGATATCTTTCAAAGAGTAGAACAATAAAACCTTCACAACCAAAACCATCTATCAACTCAAAGATCACAATGCCCTCTAACTCCTTTCGTCTTGAACTACAAATGTTCTCTATCTTCTCTTGTATTGTTTTAACATTTTAGTCACTTTAACAGCAGACAATCATTGCATGAAGTACATCAAACGAAGCATATGCTAATGATTTCTCTCAAAATAATGATTGTATATTTTTAGTGAAGATAATTTTACACACAAATAGATAGTGGCTAGTAGTGGAGTCCAGGACGCGCGTATCGTCCTATTTGGGACTCGTCAGCTGGATGTACCTGCATCTCAGGGTTGATGTCCACTCCGGAACTCGGACCCAGTACCGTTCGCTCCAAACGCCATTGCTATATCCACTTAGTTACTGAGTCCTGATAGCCACTTGCTTGGGAAAATCCAAGTAAACAATACCAAGTGAATTTAAACTTCACCCCATTGCCTGCCCCACATTCGTCCTTTTTAAACAGTCGTTGTTGCGGTTGTTCTGCTCACCGCACCGCTTTCTTTACTACAGTCTATGCTGCGTTCGTTGTCAAAATGTCGAGTCTGTGACGCTGACCTTCGTAGTTCCGTTGACCGGCCGGATCATCAAAATCTAATGTCTACCCAGCAGCCATACATCCCATTGCTCCTCTCTGTCGACAGCAACTGCTACAGCCAACACTGCCAGATATTCCACTTCTGATTGATATGATACACTACTTATGTCGAAATAAGTAGCATACACGATCCATTGAACACAATATCTGCACATCTTCCTTGAATTGTCCTTGACAAACTATATCATTCTTTTTTCCCACTTTTATTTCGGTTGTTTTCTGTTCTTCTTTCTCTTCTCTTCATTTTCCTCTTCTGTCAGTAAGAATTCTACTTCCACTTCCTGATACATACTACTTATATCTGTCCGTATAAGTAGCACGCTCTGCAATACGAGACTCCCTGGCTTTACACACTTACGACACTTCACGGGATCGAACCCTAAACTTTCAGACCTCTTGGCATTCGCGATACTTTTAGGCCTCAGATTTAGAAACCACGAACTATTCAATTAAACTGTAATTGTGTGCTAATTCGTGACTAGCTTTAAAGTCCCAATAAGTATTTACGTTTGATAAATTTCAACCATGTCGAAAGCAAAACAGTTACCATCAGTTGGATTGGGTAATAGTCGTACTATACTACTCAGTTACAGCGATATCGAAAAAGTTAAACTAAGATTTAAATTTCAAGTCAATTGGTTGAAAGCATAATGCGGGATCGTGAATGCGCACTGCTGGGGAGTCCCGTAACAGGACGAAACGGCCGTACAGTGCTTCCAGGTTTCCAACGGTGGTCTAAAATCAATCGATTCATGATCTCAACCAAAAACTTAATAATCTCCACAACTGCTATTCTGATACTAATCTATCGTTCAACTTCATATACATCATGAAATATAGTTAATTAGCCTAAGTTATTTTGTGCATATATATATATGAATTCAATAAACTTGTTTTCACTATAAATATATATTCCCTTGTAGAATAATAATGATGATATACCATCTAATAAGCGTATTCGGTTATCCCAGGGGAATAATGAAACATCGATTGCACCACCGCCATTACCATCCTCCTCGACAACATCATCATCTGCAACAGTTAATAGTAGTGGAATCTTACATACAAACACAAATAAACCCAGTATAACAGGACAGTCTCAGCAGTTATCTAATACCACTACTACTACCACTTCAGGTTATGCGAATCTGGTAATTTGTGGTTGTTCGTTGTTATATGTTTGTTTTGAATGTTTTATTATCTATTTAAATATATGTATGCTTTCTATGTAAATAAATCTAGGCTTTTGCGATCGACTGTTAGTCATATCATGAATCTATCGAAGGTCGTTATCAGAAATCCTACACCTATTTGCAATGCCCGAACACGGGATATTATTTTGCAAGGCAAATTTCAGGGAATGCACTCATTTGTAGGTGTTACATGACATTCCTATCTCAATTGATGGATATTCAGTCTCATGTTTAAAATTTCTTATATTAAAGTTTACTAAGTCGATATCACTGACCCAGTTTTTTGCACAGCACATACAATTATACAGAGACAATATTATCGAATACATGAGGTTTATTTATCTAATCATCAATGTGTTGTTCATTGTTTGTTTATCCATAGTATAAATAGCTTAAAGCTAAGTTCTCCAGCAATTCCTTTATATTGATCTCGGAGAACTGTGTCCCTGAACATTTTCATAAAGCCTGTAGATGTGTTATTCTATATCACTTAGAGCTGTTTTTTTCTATTTCAGCAACAACAACCAATGAGAAATCTCCCACCTGGTCATATGGGGCATCCGGGAACTTCTTATCCACGCTATCACCACTAGCAATCACAATTCTTCGTGGATTAATTTTTTGTATATATTAATATTTTCTCAACATTTTCATAGTTCTGTGGCCAATGTTTTTGTTTTTCGACACATTTTTGTACAATGATTGTAGTAAAAATATACAGGTGTCCCAGTATTGTGATAAATTTAGTGGACAGGGAAGGAAAGCGTGGGACGTGAACCAGATAGTCATGAGTTCGTTATCTGCTTATTTACCTAATCACATCACCTAGTTATCGAGATTCTAAACTCTAAATTAGTAAGATATTGGACTGTTTATCAGTTATGACCAAAATTTACACGTAATTCTAATTGTCATCCCGTTTCACATAAACGTTAGACCCATGAACCAAATTTGCTTTAATCAACATCACATCACTTGTAACTGTAGGCTTGTCGTGACCTTATCTTACGTATCCCCCAGGATGAAATCGATATGAAAACAAGTTTAATTTCATTCCCAGGGACATCCAACTAATTTCATTGAATCTAATTTTTCATCGAGCAACGAATTTTCTGTTGGTCGGAAAAAATATGAGTTACTTGTACTTAGTTATCAGGATTCCAAATGTGCGAATATAGCTGAGTAATGCTAGACTTATGCATAAAACTTCCACTAGGATAATATGTAAAATAATTTAGAGCAATCTTGCAGTTAGTCCTATGTTATCAGTGAGCTTATTTTGTCTGAATTATTGTATTTTGATATCTATTCAGAATTACATCATTGCGTCGATGAGGGACAATAAGAGATCAATGTGAAACTTGGATATCTAATCTTCGTTGAGTTTGTATGCTTCTTAAAATGACTACCTGCTAAGAACAGTTGTGTTGTGACACTAATTGTCCCGAAATTTTCTGTGATTCATAAATGACAATTGTCTTACTTCGTTTTTAAAAATGTCACAGTTATGTGCTGAAAACTTATTATTTGTGGTTGTGCACGTATTATATTTTAGTCATATTATCAAATGAGTCCTAAGTTTGGATATATTAAAAAATAATTAGGATTACTCATTTTAATCTCCGGTGTTGACTGTAGGTTTATAGATGTGAGAGCTTGCACGATCTACTGACCACATGACGAAATTTACGATGCGAATAAGACCAAAACACTAATACCAATAAATTAAGTATGCTATCAAATGAAATACATTGACTCTTCTGGTTTACTAGGAATTTATGTGACACTTGTTTTTACTTATTCTTTTACGAAGTTTTACAAACAGTCATTACAAATTTTATAGTAATTTTTTACAGTAACTAATATACGGTATACATAAATACAGATAGCTTAAGCAGACGTCATCTCTTTATATTTATGATGTTTTAAAATGCACCGGAATAGGGGTGACAAACTTCAAAAACTATCGTATAGTTTCAGTGCAGTACGAATTAAGAACCTTTCTTCGTGGACATAAATATAAGCAACAGTAAGTTGTCCTACAAAAGGAATATACTGATGCATATCAGGTATGTTTAAGAAGCAGCTGACTGTTCATACTACTAGAGATCAGTATATTCTACGAACTAATAAAGTCAACGGATTATCCTAAACAAAGCACCCTATTTATAGAATGAAGTAAAATGTATCCATACAAATAAAATGAAATGGCGATATTCACTGAAAATACTATTCACGCTTCGACTGAAAATCAAACAATTCATATCATTATTATTACTTACTACGTCACTTATTCCCTCTCTATTACTCCCACTTTGTATCTTTTTTTCAACTTATACAGCAGCTCGCCTATGGTGGAAACTTCTATCTAAACGATCTCGAGTCACTGATTGGTTGAAAATTGAATGCTTCCACCAAATACGAATGCTGAAACCACGTGCACCATTCGAACTGGCTTTCCTCAACGTTCGCACACTAATGCAGATCGGACAACAGATAGGGCTGTCTATACCTTTAGAAAGTTTTAATATAGACGTTTGTTGTCTATTCGAGACCCGTATCAAGACTCTGGTGAAGTACTGCAAATTCGCTCTCTATCAGTCGCTTCAAAAGGTTTGCTTTACGTGAGTTTATCCGGGGACCTTGTGACATCGTCTGGTCTTGCTGGCGTTGGTTTCGACTGGCCTGCTGCTCCGGCAACATCGGTTGAACTGTCCTGCCCTCCATGGCCGGTGACGACTGATCCACCAAATGAGGCGGAAGTCCGCAAGGAACTCCAACTCTCGAAACTCTACAAGTCACCGGGCCCAGATGACTTACCACCGGCTCTTTTTAAAGATGGTGGTGACTTTCTGGTTAAGGAACTGACTGTGTTGTTTATAAAGGTCTGGGAACTAGAGAGTGTTCCAACGTCATGGAATGAGTCGATAGTTATCCCTATCTTTAAAAAGGGTTCACGTCGTTCCTGCAACAACTATCGGGAGGAAAGTCTACTTCCGATTGCGTCCAAACTATCGGCTTCCGTCATACTTCGTAGGTTGTTCAAAACCCGAGAAAGATTGACTCGCGAGGAGCAGGCTGGGTTTCGTTCTGGTCGAGGATGTATTGATCATATCTTCACCTTCCGCCAAATGTTAAAACATCGCCATACTTATCAAAGGCCAACAATCGTAGTGTTTCTTGACATCATGGCTGCCTTCGATTCGTTAAACAGGACTGTTCTCTGGGATTGTCTATTGAAGAAGGGTGTGCCTGAGAAGTTTATTAACATCCTAAAAGCCCTATATACAAACACCTCAGGCAGAGTGAGGGCATACAACCACCTCTCTCTATTGTTCCATTCGAGCAGTGGGGTTAGGCAGGGTTGCCCAATCTCACCATTCCTCTTCAACTTTGCCATCGATGACATTCTAGAAACAGCTCTGATGAATGTAAGTAATGGTGGTGTGGATCTGTTGCCTGGAGAAAGACTTCTCGACCTTGAGTATGCGGATGATATTGTCTTACTGTGCGATAATCTCCGAGGCATGCAATCCACACTTAATCAGTTGGCAATCAGTGTCCGCAGGTATGGTATGTGCTTTGCACCTTCGAAGTGCAAAGTACTTATACAAGACTGGCACGATTCTAATCCTGCACTCACTCTGGATGGTGAGCAGATAGAAGTAGTCGAAAAGTTCGTGTATCTAGGTAGCTGCATAACTGCTGGTGGTGGTGTGAGTGGTGAGATCAATGCACGTATAGTGAAAGCCAGAGCGGCTTATACCAATCTGGGCCACTTTTGGCGCCTTTGTGATGTAAGTCTGGCTGTAAAAGGTCGGATCTACAACGCGTCGGTGAGAGTAGTTCTGCTCTATGCTTGTGAAACCTGGTTTTCGAGTTGAGAACGTTAGACGAGTTTCTGTATTCGATCGTCGCTGTCTCTGAAGGACTGCTGACATTCAGTGTCAACACCATGTTAGTAATGCAGAGGTTCGGCATCGTGTTATCGGGCACAGAGATGATAATGCGATCGGTGTCACCATGTTGAAACACCGACTTCGGTGGCTTGGATATGTTCTACGAATGTCGTCCCAGAGAATTCCACGTTGTGCATTATTTGCCGACTCTGGGACTGGTTGGAAGAAGCGGAGAGGTGGTCAGTGCATGACATGTTATCGTGGCATGAAAGAAAGCCGTAAAGGACTGGCTTGTGTTGGTCCTTCACGACTCCCTGGTTGGGGTCCGAGAGATGGTGCAACACAGTGGTTAGAGATGTTATCAGATATGGCTCAGAATAGAAGCCAGTGGCGATCCTACTATAACCTCTTACTTTCTTCATAACAAGTGGTTGTAACTCCCTTAACTGAAGGAATTCTTTCTGATTGTACCTTTCCGTTTCCCCCATCATTATTATTATTACACTACCATACACTAATCTGTGGTTGTTATTCTTCTTCCTTTTTTTCTTATGCGCACCTTACCTTCCTTTTTTCTTCACATTCTGGTGCCCCCTTGTACCAATATTTATGTGTTTAAATAAATAAATATCCATACTATTAACTACGATCCCTACCACACGAGATTCGATCGCCAAATAACATGAATACTAAATCGACAGGTTTCAGTTTGTGATGTATCGATAATTCCACTTCATCTCAACAATGACAAAGGCGGAAAGAAGCAAGAATACTCTTGTAAACATGGTACTAAAAAGAAAAGAATTTTGATGGGCAAACAGTCTAAAACTGAACGCACTTAATAAACATAAAATTTATTTTATTTATTTAAACACATAAACATTGGTATAAGGAGGCACCAAAAATATATGCGCCACATAAAGCACTTGAGGGTTGGGATACTTCCCGGGTGCCCCAACCGAGACAGGTGGTTTCCTTAGGGAGCCACACCCGGAGACCTTGACCTAAAGGTTTGGTCCACAAGGCAGTGGAGCAAAGTCAGGAGATGCAGTCCTGTGGTAGCCAGTGACCAACAACAGGTTCATACACCATTTATCCTCTCAGGGTACTGGAGCCCGTGTACACCATTGGTTTGGAATCAGGGTTTTCCAACTCCCCTAGGTGGGTCCTCCATACCCACCAACTCGTTTAAAGCATCGGACAGTCGCTCTTCTCAATTTCGTGAACAACACCCTGCCGCGTTAAGGCAGTGAGTAGAACTTCCCTGACAGTGGTGGTATGCACGTGCCCATGCGAGAGCATTTCGAGTGGGAGAAATGACTTCCCATTCTCGGCCTTATCAGGGCATTGCATCATACACATAAAAATAAGTCTGTTTGAGTGATTGACTACCGGGCTGCTTCGAAAAAAAATACTTGATTTGATCATCCGAAATTGAGGATTAATTCAGCCAACCTTATTATCATAGTAAAATAGCATGAAGACTGACCAACTGTTGTTTGGTGTCCGGGATTCAAGATGACAGAGTGTACTCTAGCCATTTGAACAATAGTTAGGTAGAATCATGAAGCACAACAATAACCACCTTCACGGACATTCTGAAGACGAAAACCAGAATATTTTTTGAAAGTCCTGGAGTCGATAAAACTGTCTAAATACAAATATATACTATCTTATAGTTTATCACTAACTGA